GTGGATGAGTTCCACGCTGGTGGCTAGCAAGACCGGCCCTCCTGGACCGGTGACGAAGCGGCGGAGTGCTCTGCGCCGGTTGGTCGCCTCCTCCAACTATTGCTTTAGTGTAGAAGGCAAAAAGATGTTTGATACGTTTCCTGCCCAGAGATGAGACCAGGGAAAGCAAAGGAAATTAGGGGGGCGATAATTGGTGGAAATTGCCCATGCTGAAACCTTTTTGGTTTTGATCGCCCAAAGCTCGGCCGTTCGGTACTACCGGCCCAAACAACTTCCCCCTGGGTGAAACGCGCCTTCGCGCCGTGGCCACAAACCCGTTGGCTTGCTTTTACAGGACAATGAATCTGGCGCTGTTTCTGCACCGGATGCATGAACCGGTAGGGCCACTCTTTTTCACAATATACCATACCTATCCATTTGGAGTATCGCCCTCGGCTTCTTTTACATTGGAATTCGCCAGATTCATGTTTCTGCACCTGATGCATGATCCGGGAGGGCCCTTGGAGGCACGCGTGGGCCGATAGTACCCCACATGGAAAGGTTTGGGCATGTGGTACCAAATAGCCGAACTTCACCAATTATCCCAATTAGGGGGGAGGAATCCTGGGGATAATTGGTACTAATTTGGTGAAAAAACTTTGTTTTGGGCGCCCGAAGTACGGCTGTTCGGTACTATCGGCCCAAATGTCTTCAGCCTGAGTGAAAGGCACCTTCGCACTATGGCCACAGCTCCCTTGGCCTGTTTTCACCGGTTCATGAATTTGGCACTGTTTTTGTGCCAGGGTCATGAACCGGTAGCGCCCTTCTTTTCAAAATAGCTTACCTAGGCTTCATTCTATCCCCGTCTACATTAAAATGAATCTGGCACTGTCTATGCACCAGATTCATGATCCTGCAGCGCCCTTGGAGGCACGTGTGGGCCTGAAGTACCCCACATGGAAAACATTCGGCCACTAGTACCAGGCGACCGAACTTTGGGTGCCAGAAAACCGAAAAGGTTTTGGCGTGGCCGCTTTCTAAAAATTGTCCGGGTATCCTGGCCTCGAGCTATTCGACATTGTTGCTCTTCAATTATAGTTGTTTGGCCCTTAGATAGAATGAGAAGAAACTTTTAAGTAGGGGCAACTACAATAAGTAGAAACTCAGAAAGCAGCAGGCAGTGCCAGGCACAGCCTGTGGGTGCCCATTCTAATTATTTGGGTATTTTCGGAAGTCTCCCGTGCAGAATGAGTGTCTGACATTGCCTGTGCGGCATGGCCAGCATAAAAAACTATGGAAGCTTGGAGCAGGACCTCCCGTTGGACAGGCGACTAGGGCTGCAGGGGTGACGTGAGTTGCTGCTTGTCATCAGATTCATGTTCTGGGGGGGGGAAGGGGGAGAGAGAGAGAGAGAGAGAGAGAGAGAGAGAGAGAGAGAGAGAGAGAGAGAGAGAG